AATAATGAACAGTTTTTGAGTTATCGTACATCAAACTCTGCAAAATCGCTGTTTGGCAGAGTTTGATGTACTAACTTAAAAACTATTCATTATTTTATTTTGTACCCATGGAGACTTTTGATCAGGACAATCAAAACTATAACATATTATAAATTCAGGCAAATTAGCCCATTTTCCCTATATTTTGTGCGAGATCCTTTCCAAGTTAGTATGAACTCTATTTTTTTCATCTATATTTATCTTTTGTATCTATATTTATCTTTTTCATTATACGCTTATTAATTTTTTACTTTTGTTTTCCATATTAAGTGGTCTATTACACTTTTAGATATCAAAGGAACAATGGCCATCCAATTCCTTGAGTTCAATAACATTTTGTTATTTTCATATGTGTCAAAATGTAAATCAATTCTTTTCTGTAATTAGCTTTATTGTAAATAACGTTTATATTAACGTGTGCATAGTAAAGAAACTAATTTTGAGTCAAATTTAGTACATTTTCTTCAGTTAAATTATTCACCTAAAATCATTGGTTTACTTAAATTAACGACATATTGAATAAGAACAGTGATGAGCTGCATAAAAATGATTAAAAATAACTCAAATTGGATAATTCGACATAGTAAATTTAACAGTGTAGAAGAAAATAAAATAATTTGAAGAATTATTGAAAGAATAATCGAAAATTTTAATTCTCGTTTTTCTCCTCCTGTCTCTGGATGAAAGCTTAAATTAATGAGCGGATAATTATCACGTATAAATAATTATATACTTTTGTTTGCAAGACATTTGCGCTTTTCGCGCCAATTAGAGAAGCATCTGGCGATAATGTCGAATAGATTTATCGCGCACGATAATCATATATGGAAATGTTGCAGTTCGTAGAATAGCTGGATTTCAATACTTGGTGCTGATTCACTGCTTCATTCGCGTTTATTCGGTGCCCCTTCGTACGCTCACTCTCGTGTTGCACTTTCATTTCAAGCCCTCTCGTCGTGACTTCGATATTGCGGGATCATCGGTCGGTCGGGCGAGAGATATATTAAAGGCGTGGGAAACTATCCATGGCGAAACATTGCTTAACTCCCCGTCTTTTTCGTCATCGTCAAATAAACGTGGCTTCTCCAGTGCGTAGACAAGATGCTCGGCAATTTGTAAACAAGCGCGATATGAATTACGATATCGTTTAATTGTAAACGGACATGATTATAGTTTCAACACAAGCTATCGCAGATCGATAAGAATTCGTATTAAAATGTTACGTAAATATTAATTCGCTATTATATAGTGGCTGTCAATGAGTAATTTTATTGAGAATTGTTCATCAGATAAAGAATTTTTACAGATTTAGTATACAAGTATTGAACATAATGAGTTTGGAGCGCTACTACGAACTTCAAAATTCAAGCAATTATAATATTATTAAAAATTAACGAAATTTAAATTAAAAAAGAGAGTTTTAAAGCTTAATAAAATCTCTACTTTCGAGAAGTCATTATGCCTCTTGAGTTTTTATGAGTTTGATAATTTTAACATATAGGAAATTAAAGTTAGACAAAAAATGGAAAATTTAAAGAAAAATTTTTCCTACAAATTTTTTTTTAATCGTTTTTTTAAATGTTTGTAAGATTGTTGTTACTGAGTTATCGGATTAAATAGGAGCATTTTGATTTTGATTGCTCGTAACTTTGTTAAAAATCATTACATCACAAAAAGACAGATACTTAAAGCTGAAACTCTATCGAATGTTGCCAATTTTTTTTAAAAGAACAAATGCATACACATTACAAATGAACATAACATTATTAAATTTTTGTTCCAATTCTATATATATTGTACATTCTAGTATTTAAAATATTACATTTTTAAGTTGATTATAATGAGAATTTTATTAACTTATATTACTAATAGAGTTTGTTGAAGTATCTAAAAATTTAGTAAGATATAGATCTGAAAATAATTTTATTGAGCTATCAAAATAATTATGCGAGACGTTCAAATTGTTGCTAGAAAATTTTGCAGCATTGTTCATGCTTGAGATTCCTACATAATTATTTTATAGTCTGACAAAGTTATTTTCAGATCTGTATCTAATTAAATTTTCATATAGTTTAGTATTCTTTCCGTGTATAAATTGAAAAGATAGATTTTGCAAAAATTGCCATAAAATTATCTGTTGGGAGGAAATTTTTGAAAGTCACTGTATATTAAATACATATAGGTTTTTTTTGGATAAGCTTGTATTATCTCATTTATTATCGCGTTTTATTAATTTTTTATGCAGAATATTACATGCAGGATCATTTTTACCGTATTATCGGTTCTTTAATTTGGAGTAAATTTTTTTTTAGAAAAAAATGCCTCTAATTTATCTGAAAATTTCTTGATCAAGCGATTTGAAAGACAATGATGTTTTGCATCTTAATGTACGCCCATAGCAACCATGTATCAAGTTCGTAATCGACGAATAAGGACCATCAATAATGACACCGAATATTGTCACGTTTGGAACCGCATGACAACGCGATTATTAACTTTGTTATGCGATATCACCGTCCTTCTGATGTAGATCGCTACTTTCGTTAATCAATCGCGATTGATGGATGTCGCATAAATTACTGTCGTTCACTTCGTTGTCGTGTGGCGATTGACTTCATCGTCACGTTAGCTTCATCATCATGCCAGGTTCGATACGTTTCGGCGAGCCTCGAGCCTTGATACATGCAGGTCAGAGTCACCATCGTGCCAAAGTAATCGATAGCATCGGATATTCCCATTTTTAGGCACAGGTATGATGAAGGAAGCAAATATCGAATTTTCACCTGTTCTTAGACGACACATATTTTAGGATTTTAAAATTATGTAATTAATAAGACAGATGGATTCATTGTAATCATTGTATTTAACCTGTATTATTATAATAAGACAGCATATCTCATTTTATGTGTCGTAAATACAATCCGTATTTTAGAATAGAATTATAATTAATAAGGTAGAATATCTCATTTTACATGTTGTAAATATAATTATAAATTGAAAGGAAATTTTTACCTTTTCGTGGACTAGACTACACTAATTCAGATGTGCGTGATCAAAATATAGTATTTTTCTTTGATTCTTTATTTTTAAGTCTTCTGTGGGTTATCGTAGTTTATCATGCTGGGTCATGCCTGTACATGACAATTTAATGAAATTATATTATGAATAAAAGATATTAAATTCTTTTGTTAATTATTGTAATTTTTCGCTTATCAAGCGTGTTATTTGTTTTTGAGATTAATTGCTGCGGCAATAAGCTAATTGTAATTAATAATGAAGATCGTGGATTGTGATTATTAAATCGCTTGGTTTGCTACTCATATGTTGATAAAATGCGAAGTATGAAGAATGACAACGAGAATTATGCGAATGCTGAATCATACGAGTCTTTTGAATCATCTTTGAATATCTGAATCATCCGAATACTAAAAAATGCAGCTGGACATTCCATCTTTTTTAAAAAAAAAGGTTTACCTGGAATCATGTTATATATCTTGCGATCATGAATCTTGCGAGCATAAATTAAGAATATATTAGAAGTATTTTTTGATAAAATGAAAAAATTATAAAAAAATTACCCATTTTTCTATATTATATTTGTGAAAGTGAAAAGTTTGACAGCGATTTAAAATCTGCGATTAAAAATTATTCCAATAGGAAGTTCATTAAAAAATAAGTTAGTAAATTAGAAAATTTTTATTTTAATTATAAAATTGTATTGTTATATATTCAGTTAAAAATAAATGCTAATATTTTTTTATTAATCTGAAATTCTTTTATTTATATTTCTTATTAATTATCGACATTATACATAAGTTTAAAGAATTCTTGAAACAAAAGATAATTCACAGCAAATGTTATATTTATATTTATTTTTTAAACTAAAATATTGAATAATAAAACATATTTAAACACAATTAAAATTGTTAAAATAATTAAAATTATCTCGCCGCTTATTTTCTTTCTTTCATTTTCGAGTCACTGAATCGGTTGGACCATTTCACCATAGCATCCGTCTGTATTGAATCTTTTACTTGCCATGATATACTTTTGTTCGCCTTATGCTCAGAATTCAAACTGAATCGAGATAAAAGGCGGTCGATGATTTTAATTAATAACTTAATTATACTTAATGTGTTACGCTAGGTAACTGTTGTTTTGTTGTACTCGCGATTCAAGATTGATTTGCTTTTACCTCACACTTTCGCGTAATTATATATAATAATTGCCGAATATTTCCATATTGTACTAACGGACATGTATACATTGTTAAATATCAAAGGAACAAAGCTAACCCAATTCCTTGAATTAAATAACATTTTGTTATTTCATGTGTAGCGAAATGTAAATTAATTAATTTCTTTGGTTGAATTGCTTAATTTCAAAGTAAACGTTGTTAATATATGTACTTACTAAAAATAACAAACTAAATTTAGATTAATACATTTTACTAATTAATTGTTTAACTTCATTGTTTTAATTAAATTGATGACATATTGAATAGGAACAGTGGCAATCTAAAAAAAATTATTTAAAATTACTCGATTTTTGGTAGAAACGTATTTATTAATGTAAATTTAGAATTTCAAATTAGATATAATGAATGTATTAAATATTATGAATTTAACAGTGTATAGAAGAGGTACCTGTCTATCATAACCGTGACTTGAAATCCGAGGTAAAGGGAAATGACGCGTTTACGAGAGATTCTTACAATACGATAGCGTTGTCGTCAGTGATGGCTATGAATCATACATATGTAAATTACGTTGTAATCTTATAAGGTGGAGGTCAGTGCCTCTCATTGTGGCTTGTATTGTACGCGAAGTTTCGCACCGTATCTGCATGTCGTTTCCTCTCGAAGTTGAAATCACACACAGGGAAATCGCATCCTTATCTCTTAAATATTTTTAAGATGGATTTGGACTCGCCAAAAGTAAACTCTTTCTCTTTTATTTCAGATTTAATTCATTGCACCAATGAACCGAATGTCTCCATTCCGCAGCTCGCTAATCTCCTGATAGAACGCTCACAGAATACAAATTGGACGGTAGTCTTTAAGGCCCTGATCACTGTGCATCACATGATGTGCTATGGTAACGAGGTAATTACCTTTCGGGCACTGGTTTGATCTGCGAGACATTCTGTATATTCTTCTGAAATGATTTTTCTATTTACAGAGGTTCACGCAGTATCTCGCGTCCAGCAACAGCACGTTTCAACTCAACAATTTCCTCGACAAGAGCGGCGTACAAGGTGATTATTTTGTAAATGATCGTATTAGCGAGGCTTTGCGTTTTTCTTGGGATACCACAATATGTTCCAGAATTGACGAACGCCAACGATACTAAGCATTATCTTTTACAAAATTTGCACTGAGAGAAAAAATGATCATAATTACCATAATTTAACTAGAATTTACAGTCATTTTTGGTGCCCGTTATATATTTTATGATAGAATTATAAACATAATTATTATTACTAATGTTGGTGCGCTCAGCAGAAAAAATAGCTTTGCAACTGCAGTTGTAGGATTCTTTAATATAATTGATTATATTTAGTGAGGAATTTTAAAGATCAGAACTATTTACATTAAAGATCTCACACAGTTGCACAATTATCTTTTCTACTGAAGCCAATATAACAGTAATGACTATAAAAATGAATTTCTCAACTATCATTATTTTATTATACAATTATAGTGACAATACCAAACATTTTTCTCAGTGTGATATGAATAATGTTACGTCATTTGTTGGCATTTCGTAAATTTAACTTATTAAAGAATAATTATCATTTTGAAACAAGATAAAGTTACAAACAAATATAAACATTTTGTTAAAAAATTTAATTTTTTTTACAAAGGGTAATTATTCTTCAAACTCCGTAATGAAAATAAGGTGTCGTATCTAAAAAAAAACTAATCTTTTAACCAAATTTATAAATGTGATTAATCTGGGAAGATTAATGTTCATTTTGCATATTAACAAAATCATTGCGATATAAACTCATCGCAACACGATGTGCACGGCTTTCCACACTTCCGCCTAACAAAATTGTAGACGACATTCAGTCATCAAAAGACTCTAGTGTCAATAATCGAGCGAGCTGATTTGATATGCACGCGTCGCACGGAAAATTGCACGCCGTAATTTGAATGGCCGATCGTGAACACCTCGATTTTATATCGAGAACTTGTTTACAGGATCTAATTTTATTCACTAATTGGAGATCGTTAAGCGTAATGTTAACTGAATACATCAATCGAATACAGCAATTATTGAATTGTTTAAATAATGATTACAAATTGTTTAAACAATACGAAACGATACTCCTCTTCCAATTACAAATCTTTTAAAAAGTTTTTATACTACTGATTTTTCTCGCATTGCGTAGCTATTATCTATGGGAAATGCAAATCTTTCTCTTTTCCATGTATCTATGGCATCTATGTGTACGATTTACTAACCTGGACTAACTTTCTATCTCTTTGGGCATGAAGCAGGAATACGCGTGGGTGAGTTCTAATCAACAAACGTCCTTCTTGTTTTAGAATTAATGGTACTCATTACCTATGCTTCGTAGTTCTATATACGTGTTCATTTCTAATTTTGCGAGAATACAAGAAATTAATGTATATTTATGAACCTAACTGTTAATCTATATATATACCAATTGATGTGTATTGATAATTACAACCAAATACTATAAATATATGATTAGGCTTACAAGATGTTTGACAAAATTATAGTTTCCAATCGGCGCTGCACGCTTGTGTAACTTTATGAAATTAATGCAATCGCACCGACGTACTGCCGACTTTCTAATTTCACTTTTACGCATTGTTGCGTGGCGATGCCTATTAGTGCTTTTGTTGTGTCTACGGTATTTATTTTGAATACAAATGAGTAATTATCGTTCCGTGCAGGATATGACATGTCGCCCTTCATCAGGCGCTACGCCAAGTATCTCAACGAGAAGGCTCTCTCCTACAGGACGGTAGCGTTCGACTTTTGCAAAGTGAAAAGAGGGTACGTGTTGAGAACATTTTTTCTAGATCTCTTGAAATTTTATCTCGCTATATTTAACGCGAGAATTAACTTTCGTTGCATAATTGACATTGCAGGAAGGAAGACGGCACTCTACGCACAATGAATGCCGAGAAACTCCTGAAAACTTTGCCGGTACTACAGTCGCAACTTGACGCACTGCTGGAATTTGATTGCACGGCTAACGACCTCACGAATGGCGTCATAAACATGGCCTTCATGCTCCTCTTTCGAGATCTTATCCGGTTATTCGCCTGTTATAATGATGGCATCATTAATCTGTTAGGTAACGCTATTCAATAGTCTCTTTTTTTTTATCGCACAAGAAATGCATATTCAAAGACTATGAGAATGGATCAATTAATCGGACGATTACGATAACCTTCCAGAGAAATATTTCGACATGAACAAGAAACAATGTCGGGATGCTTTAGATCTTTACAAGAAGTTCCTTATACGCATGGACAGGGTCGGAGAATTTTTGAAAGTTGCAGAAGTAAGTTATACGATCTGTATGTGAAAGCAATCAATAATGTTAAAGATAATCATTGAACATATTTCTTTTCTTTATAGAATGTTGGTATCGATAAAGGAGACATACCAGATCTGACGAAGGTACGTGTGGTTAAAGTTTATTATCTCGCTATCTCGCTATACTGTTTAGAATAAAAATTTGTTCAATTGTCTTTAATTACCGGTTTGAGGAACTATTAACAATGAGCGAAAAAAACTAATATTTAACCGATAAAGTATGATAATATTTTCATTTGTTTCTTCCTCTTACATTACTGACAGGTAATAACATTTCTGATTATATTATTTTAATGAGATAGAGTTGGTGTGGCATAGTATAGAGCAGCACAGATAATGGACGATATTTATTTTGGGAGATTTTGTGAGCCAATTACACTGTAAATTTTTTTTTATTATGTTTTTTAATACGCGCGCATTAAAAAAAATAGTATAATGAAGGTGACAAATTCTCCTAAATAAATGCATGTATTTTAGCGGAGAGAAATCTCTTCTAGACTAAATATGCACAGCTAAATTTTACTTTGCACTTAATTGAAAAACTTTAATAACCTTCTGTAAATAATGGACAAATGAATTTTTTTAGGCACCGAGTAGTTTATTGGATGCCTTAGAACAACATCTCGCTTCCTTGGAAGGAAAGAAGGGCTCCGCCGCGAACACGCCAACGCAGTCAGCAAGGTATGCCGACTTTTTCCATTTATTCGACTCATTTAAGTCTCATATAACAATCGATGTAGGGATAATTTAAAATTTCCTATGTTGAATGCTATTGACATCGATATACTTGATCTCCCTCTCTATATACTTCCCGAAAGTCCGTCGTTTTCGTCTCATTGTTCTTTCATATCCGATAATCAAAGACACGTTTTTCTACACATCTTTACAAGCTTCTTAAGCTATGAGTATTTAAATATTATGTTTATCGCACATGCACATGTAACAATTATGATACAGGATTATGTTCCTTTATTTCGAATATAATAAGTTGATCATTGATCATTTTATATTCATAAAAATACCGTCACTTTTATTTTTCTTAAACAAATGTTACAAAAGGTTTTGGAAGCTAGTACTATCTTTGGATATATTCTCTATTTGAATAATTATCCAACTTGTAAAAATTTGTCGTGATAATATCCTCTGGATACAAGGTTATAATTTTCTCTGATATTTAATATTTAGTTATAGAATATTCAATTTACGTTTGTATCCTGACCTATTTTAGGTATCCATGCTATGCTCCTAAATTTGGTATTCAATTTTTATGTATATGTGTGTGTGTGTTTCTTACTGAAACTCTGTAAATATAATTATTGCACTATCTAATCTCTATCGCTCTTGTATACTGCATGTATTTACGATAATGTATTTAGATAATTGACATGTTTCCCTATAGTTTATTGATTTTAGTGGATATCGAGCATGCTAATAAATCGTCAATTGAAATTAATAACATTGACGATTTAATTTTTTGCCTAAAATTTAATAACGAATAATATTAATTGATGTGGCTATAATAGTAAAATTTGTTGAATATGAAATGGCATTTATTGTAATAAATATTTAATTCATTGAAGTACACAAGTGTTAAAATAATAATAATAATGTTTCCATGCACATATATTTATCTGTACAAATCGCTTATTATCGTAGTAAATTCACCATATTTATAGTATGCTATTGAAAAATGAACAGTCTCTAAATCAATATGTAATACAATTTGTTTGAATATACACAAGCTTGATGCCATGTTTCACTACAAAATATAGAACACCTGTAAATGCATATATGTATATTAGGAAATTTAATAAAAAAAAAGAAATGTAAAAGAAGAACGAAAGAAGTGTGAAAGAAGAGAGAAAAGGAGTGTGTATGCGTGCGCGCGAAAAAGAGAAAGGATGCATGCGAGCGTGCGAGTGATAATGCACATTATGCATTTTTACGCATTGTTACATCTATACGTACTACACCGTTTGTTTTTTGTTTTTTTGTTTGTCTCTTCTCCTTTGTTTTCAATTATCAATTTTCCTTTACGCTCCTTTCTCTCTCTCGCCACATTTTACGAACTCGCTGAAACGGACCTTCCGTATTCTTCTTGTCCGTCCTCTTTTCTCCATCCATCGACACCACAACATCCTATCATCGCCCAAAAGCAGCAATAGAACCAATGTAAAGTCGGGAGTGTCCGCCCTGTCTTCCACCAGTAACGCGTTCGGAACAGCAGCCAGCAATGCGCGGCTCGAGCAAACTGGGAATGGCCATATCGATGAGGCGTTGCGACAGCAAGCTCTCGCGGAAGAGGAAGCTGCCATGAATCAATACAAGGTACTAGTTTGCGCAAAGTATTACTAATTAAAATGAGAGCGAGGTGACAGATGGAAAAATTTTAGATTGCTATATTACTATCATTCTAATGTATTAATTTTCTATTTAAGTTTTAGAGATATTTCATTTGTTTCATTTCAATTTCTTCTTCCATTGCGATTCCCTGCATATAAACATTATATTAATTTCTAATGTATATGTTGCAGGCAAAAGTACAATCTCCATCAGGTACTAGCACGAATCCCTTCCTCAGTTCTCCAACCAATAATGCTAATCAACCGATTGTAGACTTGTTTGGTGCAACAGCCGAGAGCCAGGTACGTCTATATCTTTCATTCGACAAGTGGTCTGTTCTTTTCAACTGAATTTTTTGCATTGTTCATCTTTCCACTTATTTTTTCTATAATGGAGAGAAAAGCATGAAAAACGAAAGACTATACAAGAAATTCAACCGAAAAGAACTGATCTAAAAGTGATTCCATTTGAAGCGAACTAATCAATTGTTATAACAACAGTCGTCTCAAAAGGCATCGGATGATCTACTGCAACTTGCGGGCAATCCGTTCGCGAACATGTTCGGGGCGCAACCACCTACAGGAACGACGCAACCTGTCGCTCAGATGCAGAACAACATGTGGATGACCAACGGTACTGGTGAGCACGAGCATTTAAAAATCGATATAGTCTCAGTGATCATCGCTGCTTCTCTCGTCACCGCGCTTGTTTATGATATTTTTTCCCCTTTTATTTTAATTCATTTTATTTCATTTTTCCATTTTCTTTTTTTCTTTTAGGTTTCGCGCCAACTGCGCCACCAGCAAATAATAACTTTGTTACAGATAATAGTTTTTCCTCCGTATTCGGAAATCAAGATCAGCAATCCAGTAAGTGCTTCATTAGCGAAGTAGACATAAGACGGGATTATATTATACGAGCGCATTCACATAATTAAAAAATTCCGTTTACTTTCATTTTCTTTTTCTCTGCCAATCTTTATACATCTCTTTTCTTCTTTCATAGAACTTTTGCGGCCATTTTTATGATACTTTTGCATCATACATCTTATACATTTTTTAGATACTTAGTATGCCTGAGCAATTACACTTGCTGTTTAATGCTATGGGCAAAAATGTACCGGATGAAGCAGCGTTTATAAACAGTGTTTATAGCTGCAAAAACAGTTTTGTTGCCATACACAATAATAGTAATGGCCGTGTTTAACAAAATATTTATTTTGTAATTATTGGAAGTTGTCTTCGTGCTGATTTTTATTCTTAAATTCAAAGGAATAATCCTATCCTCCTAGCGATGAAAACTTCAAATCGTTGCAAAATAAATATTTTCTTGAACACGACCAATGATAATTTATTTTTCCATTTTTTTCTTTTCATATTATGGCTACTAATAAACGCTGGTTATTCGATACATTCTCCAAGTGCAACGTTGACGCACGACATTATAAAAGAATGCAACCGAGCTACATTGCGTTAACATTGTATTTGAATATTTCTTTTTTTTTCTCTTTAATTAACGTATTAACGGGTGACGGTGTAACAATTGCAAAATATTTTACATTATTATTTCTTCCGGACGCAAAAGAGGAGGAAGCTAACTTATGCACCTTGATCACTTTCTGCGCAAGCTGGCGCCCCAGGAACGGCCGCGTCCGTACCTAATCCCTTCATGTCCGATTTCCCGTCCCTCGGTACCATCGGCGGCCAGCAAGCGACGAACGCAGGCGCCTTCGGGCTCTTCGATCAGAACGCCGGCGGCGTTGTTGGCGGTGAATCGGTGCAAGTAGCGCAGACGGGGACGGTAGCAGCCGGAGACCTTTTCAGTGCCGGTCAGACGGATCTCTTTGGGGGTGACGGGTCCGCCGCCGCGATGAGGACCCCCGCAAACGGCGGCGACGGGGATGCTGCGGCGGCCGAGGTGGTGGCGTCGGCGGCGCCTTCAGTCGCCGGCAAGACATCGTCCACGGCTACGCCGCCACCTAGACCACCGCCACCCGCGACCGCCGTTGCTGCCGCGAACGGTGCCGCACCGCGTGCACTGTCTCCGACACACGGAGCGTCACATGGTAGGCCAGCGATGGCAACGGCGGCAGCGGTCCCGGCCTCTTCTGCTGGCAAGAGCGCCTTCGATGATCTCAACGACAGTATCCGTATGGCACTGGGTGGGTCTCCGTCGCGGCCGGCACCCATGGTTCAGCAGCAGCAAGCTGCGATGGCCGTCCAACAGCAGCCGTTGCAACAACAAATGCCGCCGGCTGCGGCGGCGGGTGCCGGTATGTTCGGCATGAATGATCCCACGACCGGGCAACCCATGATGACCGGTGCGCCGATCGTCGGCTATGGTATCCCTACCCAAGCCCAAGTCCCCGTGGGGTACGGTTCGCCGGCAAAGCAGCCGATGTCAGGTGACGGGAATGCCTAAATTAATCCACGCCAATAGCATGATAATCGCACTCGCTGTACCCTGCCGACTTAAAGTCTTTCTTTATTTTTCATTTTTCTCCTTTTGGCTTGATTGTATTGCGATATTGCATCCTAAACAACGTAAAAATCCACAAGATATTTAGAAAAACATATAGATTTTTAAAAGATAATCTTCAGATATTTGCGAGATGTCTCTTGGACTTTTGTGTTGCCCAGGAATTGCTTTTTCAATTTATATATATTGCCCGATCAGCAAGATGTATGTAAATACTTATACTTAGGCACATTAGAATATTAGATAATTCTGATTAATTTTAACGTTTTCACGAGTAGATAAGCATGCCTGTGTTATTTATAACATTCTAGATATCGCAAAAATTATTGAAGAAAAATAAACGATTACATCATTCTTTGCTTAAGTGTACTCATAAACGATAACCTCTGATCATTATTTTTTTTTCACGCATTTACAATTCAATTTGTTTACAACAATTTGCATGTTCATGACTTTAATTGTACAATATACATAATTCTGCATTATTTTGTTTAGAGAATTTACAGCACGCTGTTATAAAGATTTTAAAAACGGTTTTGAATCCTTTGAAATTAAATCTCTTTATTTTATGTTAATCAGAAAATACACTTAGTAATTATGCTTAATTCTAATTTAAATTAAATGCTTAATCTAATTTAAATTTATAAATTTGTAAACTTCGCGATTTATTTTAAATTTTAATTTTATATTCGTATCTTTGCTCGACGTTATAGATATTGCTTAGGAATTTTGACAATATGATGCTAGTATGTCTACGAGTATTTTGAATTTCATTTCATTTCAGCAGGGCAACCGGTCGGTACAGCCAATACCGGCAAGGTCCTTACCGGAGATTTGGACAGCAGCTTAGCTAGCCTTGCGCAAAACTTGACCATCAATAAGAGCGCACAGCAGCAAGTCAAGTAAGTATGATTACATTTTTATTTATGAGCATTCGATTTCTAGAGTTATGTAAATTTTAATATATTTATGAGGATGATAATAATAGATTCATATAAATAATTCATAAAATGTTCCGAAGTTTATGTAATATGTGAAGCGACGATTGATAAATATTTTTCTCTTGCAGAGGAATGCAGTGGAACTCCCCGAAGAATGCTGCGAAAACGGGCGGTTCAGCCGGCGGATGGTCACCGCAGCCAATGGCGGCTACTACTGGTGCTGGATATCGGCCCATGGTGAGCCTTTCTATTTTAATTTTGTTGTCGTAAAGTTCAGCATGTTTCTTCTTCTTGTCAATACACACACACGTACACACCCATTATTTTTTATGCATTATTTTCAAAGAACAATCGCTCCCACAATAAAACTTGATTATTCTTATTCAGAATCGTAGATTATTTTGTTCCTTACGGTATCATTTCAATTTTACATCGTAGGAATCCTACGCGGACTAGTAAATTATTTTAGCTTGTTAGCAATCTGCTAAGTATATAGCATTTTCGTACCTTCAGCTAGACATTACATTGAGATGTAAGACATGTTTATCATTAAGCCATCTCGTCCGCCGTGGGACTCTTCTGCTCTCTTCGTAATACCGTAACGACAATTTTCTCGTCAATTAGCCGTTTAGGTGAGTGCGTTTTGCATGCACAGCATATGGCATGTTATTGACTATGTTGCAGGGCCAAGGAATGACGCAACTGCTACCTACGAGCACCACGACTATAGGTTTCCCCTCACAGCCAGCGATGATGGTAAGTCCCACGATTGTGAACGTCTTTGTTTCACATGCAGCAAACGAGATGTTTAACTTAATAAAACGCCAAACTTATCTCACCTCCTCATCGGATTATGAGTTTCTGTATACAAGAATAAGCGTATGATAACACGAATTGTCACTAACTCATTTTGTCAATAATGACAATCGTTGTACAAATCGTATAACGACCTTTATTACATGTAGCAAAGCGAATCGTCGGAAGACAATCCGATTCGACACCTCATTTCGTTTCCTCGCATTATGTGCTTATGCATCGATATGTACTTTTAGCGCACGTTTCAAGAATGTAGTAGACAGTACTTTATCGCAATTATTTATATTCCTATAGATTGATTTTTAGATTTATTTTCCCCTTGGCTGTAATTTGCTTGCGGTGTTAATCTCTAATGTAGATAACATAGATAAGATAATATTTTAGGATTATACAAAGCGCGGTCGTGTATAAATATTTATTATACCGATGTACAGGTAACATATATTAGAATAGATTAAGCTACACTATATTTCCTGTGAGAAAAACGTCACAAATATAAAAAGAGAATTGAGGAAGAGACTGATCTTGTTTGAAAAAAAAAAAGTATTTATAATATTTATTTTCTTTTATAGATTATGTACTTGTGATGACATTTCTTTTAAAACTAATGTAATTGCTATTTTTTCAGTTTTCAGAATTTAAAGATAAAACAAGAAGAATTCTAATAAGGAAATATCAGAACTGTCTCTCACTGATTTTGATAGACTTTGAATATATTCTAAATTCTAAAGCATCAAAAGTATTTATATTTTTTGTCTCTCTCTCTCTCTCTCTCTCTCTCTCTCTCTCTCTCTCTCTCTGTTTATATGAAGGATTGAAACAATCTCTGTAAGTAAGAATAAATTAAAAAATTTGACATTTTCAAAAAATGTGAATATACAATTATATTAAGAGCATAAAATATCATAAAACTTTGGATGAAACAATTTTTATATCTCTCAGTTTTAAAAATATTTGCTATAAATGAAAAAAAAATCCATTATTTTCAAGAGATTCTTTTCAAGAGATTATTTCAAATCTTGAGATAAGCAGATAAAAAATATGGGTTAATTTAATATTTTTTGATGCTTTACAACACACCTTATCAAAATTAGTGAAGAACAATTTCGACGTTTTCCTTCTAAGTATTTTTCTTTTTTCCAGCTATTGCTTACATTTCAATTGTTTACATAATGTAAAAATAATGATCGATCAGACTAATCGTTATTTTGACATTAAGGAAGACGTTAACTTTCGCAGGCACACGCTTCCTTTTGTACATACGTCTCATTTCTCTCGCTCTCTGGTGTCTGTAGGGTATGCAAGGTATGCCGATGGGCATGCAGGGTATGCAGGGTATGCAGGGTATGAGGCCGATGATGTGTACTATCCCAGGTGCTTCCGCCGCCGGTGGCGGTATGATGGTTGCGGGAGGAGCTGCGCCCATGATGGCCATGCCCAGCGCGAATCCTATGATGGCTGGTCCTAATTTGCAGCAACAACAACCTCAACCTGCTGCAGCAGCTCAGCCACAAGGCAATGCTGTTCAACTCGATCCTTTTGGTGCTCTGTGAAGGGATTAGGTACCTACCTTCACTTATCATTCTATGTGTCGTTGCTGAAGATGTCGTGGCGTAATAATAGAATGATCTGTGATAAGGAACGCGTGCCGACTAAGAATAATTTGTAACTTTGACGGATAATCAAAACTGAATTTCCTTCCTCGCATTTTATCGAGGAATCTCGAGAATAACTTAGTATCTATATAATTTTATTAAATTCTGTTTAGGCGAAAATTGGATCTGTGTTGGTATAATTTTGTATAATTGTATATTTTACTTCTTAAATTTGAATTCATTGCATTTTTATACAAGTCTTATATTTCTTTTTAAATAGTTTGAATGGGTGTCGCTCTAATGCTGGAGATTAATGTACAATAATCTTTATAACTTATATGTGATCTTTGTAACTTATTTGTGATTAACAGGTGTCTTGTTTCATTCAACTCTTCGAGATTT